GTTTGTGATAGATAATGTTTCAGAATTCAGGTGCCTATGCTTTGGACCATCTAAGAAGCCATTAGTTTCTATGTAAAGATGAAATATTCTTAATGGACAGTCCCCCCTTAAAATTTTAGCTTTGCAATAGATTTCACCTCCTAGCATGAAAATTCCAAAGACTTTAATAATTATTCATAAGTGGATTTTGAGATGACATTTTCCTCTTGGACAGTTTGAATTCTAAATCTCTAGTTCACAGTAAATCATTTAAAACATTTTTACTGATGGATTGTTATTTTTCACAAAGTACATTCTTACAATGTAAGACTAGATGGACCAATTTTTTTTTTTTAAGTTTCTTGCCTTTTTATTTTTTTGGTTTTCATATGTATTCTATTTGTTGTATATACACATTAGACTATTTAAAAATAACAGCTGGTTTTTCTAATTCAGTCACCCTATATTCTTATATTCTGGTCATTCTATGATTTATAGCTGTGACATTCTTTGGCATTACGTGCCTGGCCTGATGAGTTACTTAATATATTTATTCATTTGCTCACCATGTGTGACATAGTTCTGGAGTTTCCTGTTGCAGAGCTCCTTGCTGCATTGCAGTCATATATAAAAGATAAAGTTAGCCTCTCATTCCTATTAAAAACCTACCATTGATTTTTTTCCCTTTTTACATGCTCAAAAAAAAAAAAAAATCAGTAGCCCTCTACTCATTTATATACGTAAAATGTCACTGTTTTCCTTCAGCATTATTACTTGTGGGATCTTTCTATGTGTAATACTGATTTTAAGAATAATGGTCTTAGTTTGCCAATGCCAGGTAATGACTGTGCTCTACTTCAGCCTTCGTAGTACAAATTGCGATCTGACCTGGATGAGCTGCAGCTCTTTACATAGCTTTATGACCATCATATTTTGTTACATTGCTCCCAAAAAGCACAAGAGAAAAAGGCTGGCTGCCTAGAGACCTCAAGTTGAAAGTTGATTTTGCTGACAACTAACAGGGAGTAAAAGAAAGGCTTTTTCAGGCACTGGAAACTAATGATGATCAAGGTCTTTATTACTTTATCTTTTAGTTTTTAAGATCCCCTCTCTCCCTCCTTCCCCCTTCATTTTCTCAACAGTTATGAGTTCTGCTGAGAACAACATACTTCAGAACGTGTCAGGGCAGGGCAGTTTTTTCTTTTGTGTTCCTTTTGTTTTTTGAGACAGTCTTGCTCTGTTGCCCAGACTGGAGTGCAGTGGCGCCATCTCTGCTTACTGCAACCTTGCCTCATGGGTTCAAGAGTTCTTGTGCCTCAGTCTCCCAAGTAGCTGTGATTACAGGTGTGTGCCACCACACCTGGATAACTGTTGTAGTTTTAGTAGAGACGCGTTTCACCATGTTGGCCAGGCTGGTCTTGAACTCCTGAGCTCAAGTGATTTACCTGCCTCAGCCTCCCAAAGTGCTGGGATTGCAGGTGTGAACCACTGCACCCAACCAGGGCAGTTTTTTTCTGATACCAAATCAGGCCTAGGCCTGGCCTGAGTCAAATCTTTTTAGGAATAAGAAGTAAAAAGGAATGTTAAACAGCAGTAGTTACCTGGGGTGCATGATTAGTTTGATTTAGCAGATTCTTTGGCTAATCCCTAGTAAATTAAATGTCTCAGACAGGTCATAGGAATATACATATTTTTAATACATTCCTCAGTGATTTTGATCTAGCCAATCTGGGCCAATATTTGGGGACAACTGAGTAGGACCTAATGCAGGTTGAGTAGCCTTATTCAAATCTTTTAAGATCAGAAGTGTTTGAGAGTTCAGGTTTTAAAATATTTGCATTATGTACTTACTGGCTCAGCTTTCCAAATCCAAAAATCTGAAATCCAAAATGCTGCCGCGCATGCTTCCTTTTAGCGATTATGTTGTCACTCAAAAAGCTTACGATTTTGGAGCATTTTAGATTCTGGTTTTTTAGATTTGAGATATTCAATCTATATTAAAGATCAACACAGCTGGGCACAGTAGCTCACGTCTGTAATCCCAGCACTTTGGGAGGCCAAGGCAGGCAGATCATTTGAGGTCAGGAGTTTTGTTTTGTTTTTTGTTTTTGAGACGGAGTTTAACTCTTGTTACCCAAGCTGGAGTGCAATGGCGCTATCTCGACTCACCGCAACCTCTGCCCCCTGGGTTCAGGCAATTCTCCTGCCTCAGCCTCCTGAGTAGCTGGGATTACAGGCACGCGCCACCACACCCAGCTAATTTTTTGTATTTTTAGTAGAGACAGGGTTTCACCATGTTGACCAGGATGGTCTTGATCTCTTGACCTCGTGATCCACCCGCCTCAGCCTCCCAAAGTGCTGGGATTACAGGCTTGAGACACCACGCCCGGCCAAGGTCAGGAGTTTGAGACCAGCCTGGCCAACATGATAAAACCCTGTCTCTACTAAAAATACAAAAATTAGCCAGGCATGGTGGTGGGCGCCTGGAATCCCAGCTACTTGGGAGGCTGAGGCAGGAGAATCTCTTGAAACTGGGAGGCGGAGGTTACAGTGAGCATTTATTGCATTTATTTATGCAGTGAAAATTGAAAGATACATCAAATTAAAGATAAAAGAAAACTGTGACAGGTAACAGTGTATGTAATAACAAGAATATTTATTTACTGGGTAAAGAAGGCAAAGCTAGCTAGCTCTAGACTAGAATGAAAGTTGTTTTGAAATGGCTTAGTAGGGGGTACATAAGAGAAATTATTGAGGCACATGTAAAATGCCTGTGTATGCCCAGTGCTAGTGTTTTCCTTAAATCTAATAGGACTCACAAGGTACCAGAAATAATCAAATACTAATAAATATTAATACACTGCTGGGATAGACTATCACAATGTACTAGTATTCATTCACTAAGCTATAAAATCTTTGACAGCAGAAATACTAAATTATGAGCAACCTGGTTTATCCTCTATAATCTTTTACCTCTCCCTGCACATAAAATTCTCCTTGGGTTATCCAGACATTTTTACTAAGAGGCTTATTTATATGTAAGAGAGATTTCCAGTAGACATAACACAAGAAAACAACTCGTTCTATTTATTCTTCCTCATATAGGATAAAGGTCCTGAGACCTCTCAGAATCTTACGAGGTTGGAGAGTTGTTTGGAATGCTGGGTTCTGGTCTTTTCTCTGCTTCCAACTAGCTATGGAATCTTGTGTATTCTTTCAGTCTTATATCACTCATCTGGCATCTAAAGATGGACTAAATTTTTCCTTCCTGCCATGATATTCTATGGTTCTCATCAAACAGAAATAACATATTTGAAAGTGCTTTGTAAATGTTACGATACTCAGGATTATATTGCACAGAAAAAAAAAATCCTAAGGCAGCACCGACAGAGGTATTCATTGTACCTGATGGTCTTTTACAGCATTTCTTTGCCCGTATTCATTTTGAAGACCTGAAATGAAGTTGAACTGTAAATTGCTCTAAAATGCATGAAGCAGTGTGAAAAGGTCTTTGCTTTGTTTTACATTTAAATCCAGTTGTCTGTTTTCTGCTCATACTAGTGCTTTTTCATGGCAAAAATGCAGAAAAGTTCCCTTCTGCGATCTCCAGTGTCTTCTGACCTCACAGAAATGTCTTCATGCTTTTACCTAGCAGGACCACCAGAGGCTCTGTCACTCTTGCAGTCCCTGGCCCAACACCGAAGTCCTCCTGCTGGAATCTGTGCTCCGGGGGCTGTGCCGGGTAGAGAGGGCAGTGGGAGGTAAGAGCTCTTCACCCTTCACCACCTTCTCCACCCAGCATGGCCGGCACACTTTGGTCTACAGCACATCTCCAAGTATAGAAGTGGGTTTTGAATGCTGTTATGTATCACTGTGGGGATGGGAAGGAATACTCTGATTTGGACTATTTGGGGTACATGTGAGTGGATTTTATTATCAGTATAGGAACTGTTTCAAGTTAATGTGTCTTTTTAGACAACTTTTTTGCCGCATTTATCTATTCTTTACAGAAATACAAATTTCTAATTATAGTGTATTCTTCTATTTTTAAAATTGTGGTAAAGCATATATAACATGAAATTTGCCATCTTAAGTACACAGTTCAGTGGTATTCAGCACATTCACAGTGTTGCACAGCAATTACCACCATGCATTTCCAGAACCTTTTTCATCTTCCTGAACCGAAACTGTTCCTGTTAATAACTTCCCATGCCCCACCCTCTTTCAGCCCCTGGTAACCAGCATTCTCCTTTGTCTCTATGAATTTGACTATTTTAGATACCTCATATTAGTGGAATCATAGTATTTATCCTTTTGTGTCAATCATATTGTGTTTTTGTCTAAAAAAACCTATCAGATGTATGTGAAATGTAACCTAATTTATTTGATTATTTGATTGATTGTTAGTAGTGTCTCTAATTTTGCTATGCTAGGGAAGTACATTATGGTCTCCCTCTAAGAATATGAAGAGGAAATTATACCTTCAACAAACAAGCAAACTTAGTTATGTTTTGTGATTTTAATGGTATTTTCATATTCCATTTTGAGATCTCTTTGTCTTAGTTTGGAGATGGTTTTGTTAAATGTCCATGATTTAGAGATGGTATAATGAAAAAATAAAGAATTTGGTTGGGAATGGGAGGAGCTTAGAAGAACAAGAAATTGGCTTTGACTTTATAGTGTATGGTGTGTTGGTAGCTGGATGTCACCACAGGCTTTGGATTCAGAAGACCTGTTTGGGAGTTCCAGTTCTGCCTCTACCTAGCACTGTGATCTTGATGAAGATACTTCCCCTCTGTGGGCTTCAGTTTCCTAACTATAAATTGCTAGTGATAGGGCTGGAATATTTTTAAGTTTCTTCTAACTTTAGTAGTCTAAGAATTAAGTGCCAGAAAATAGGGTTAAATATTTGTTTCTGACCTTGTTACAAAAAAGAACTTGATGGCTTAAACTTAATAAAAATTCAACAGTACAATGCAAATTTAAAATGAGGCAAAAGAAGAAAGATAAAGACAGCAGAGTATATTACTTAATTTTGGTTTTAATCTTTCTTACAGCTGTTTTACATAAGAAGTTTTCATGAATACAATCAAAATGTCCATGCGATAAAAAATAAGCTAATTGTGCCGGAGAAGTACAAATGCACTTTTTCTCTAACTCTGACAATGTAAGATTTGGGAACAGTCGTTGGGCCTGACAAACAGTTAAACTAGGGTAAGGGTGAATGCCTTTTCTGGAAGCCTATCAAGAGCATTGAGGTGAAGTCCTCTTACCTTTACTCACGGGAGAGCCCAGTCTGGACCAAGAGTTTGAGAAAATTATTTTGACTTTGTTCTAAGGTAATAGGCAATGAGTGCTCAAGGGCTCCTGTTGCATTTCATGTAAACTTGCCAGAAGAGTTTTAGCTTGAAAATATAAGATGAATATAGGCAGATCCTAACCTCAGTAAAAAAACAGCGATAGCATGTTGCTTTAAGTGCTACTATTTTGTCCTCTATTCTCCAAGATGCACTCTTTACAAAGTGTTTGTACAAGGTGGCTTGTGTAAGTTTGTTTATAAACCAGTTAAAAGTTGGGATATCTACCAGCCATCCCCAAAGAGGACTAAATACAACCCTGTTTTAGTCTGCTAGAAACTTTTGTTCTGACAGAAGACCTCTCCCACTGGCTCTACTTCTGTACTAATACTAGGAGGCAGGTTCTATGTGAACATTAACAAGCAAAGATCCTGTGTTAGACTAATAGTTTGGCTGATAGCCAATTTGTACCTAGATTGAAAGACCAAGGAAAAGTTAATAAAATAAGCAACAATTTGGTACTATTTGAAGGGAAGTAGGACTGTCCTATATGGAGATGGAATAAATGGTATAAATTATGTTTGGGTCCTGAATAGATAAGATCATAGCTGTATAGTAAGGGTTTTTCACCTGGGGCTTCAGAGCTCCAGAGCATTTACAGAGAGACTGTATTTCATATGCTAGTTTTTTTTTTAATTCTCTTACTTTTATATGTTTAAAAATATGATGAAAAGGGGTACATGGTTGGATCCATGATAAAAAAGATTCAGAATTCCTTTATGTTGAGTTAAAGTGAACAGGTTAGTAATGGCTGGAGCATGATATTTAGAGTAGTTCCTAAACAGCTCTTGAATACGAGAAGTCTTTCTTGGGTTTTTATGTTTGTTTGTTTGTTTGTTTTTGAGATAGAATCTCACTCTGTCGCCCAGGCTGAAAGTGCAGTGGTGCGATATCAGCTCACTGCAACCTTCGCCTTCTGGGTTCAAGTAATTTTCCTGCCTCAGCCTCCCAAATAGCTGAGATTACATGCATGTACCACCACACCTGGCTAATTTTTGTATTTTTAGTAGAGATGAGGTTTCGCCATATTGGTCAGGCTGGTCTTGAACCCCTGACCTCAGGTGATCCACTGGCCTTGGCCTCCCAAGCTAGGATTACAGGTGTGAGCCACCGTGCCCCGTCAGGTTTGTTCTTTGGCTTACGTTTTTTCATCAGCAGTAGCCAGAGTAGTTTCTCTGATAGTTCTCCTCCCAAGTTGCTTACTTTTTAGGGAATCAGAAAGACTATTAAATGAATTTAACTTTTATAGTTACAAATTTATTCAGTATATTTCAAGCTCATATGGCTCACTAGTATTAATATTGCTAGTAGCAGCCTAAGTGTGACTGGGTGTTTCTGGCAAGGAGCAATTTCCAATTGACATTTTCTGGTTGCCAAGAACTTATGCTCAGTGGTAGTTGTAAATGCTAAATCTATACATGACTTCATCACCTCCTGTCAAGATAAATGCAAACTTCATTTCCCCTTAAAGGAGTTCAAAGGAATAACTTGTTGGCCTGTTTGGGGAGATGTTGTTTTCATCCGCCATCACATGGACCCAGCTGCAAAGATTTTCAGTGCCTAAAACAAGCTCACCTGTCTTGGTTCTTCTGAAACATGCAGTTGAAATGAAAAGTTTAGCATTGTTCACTTGTTCCAAATTCTATGATAAAGAAGCGGCGGCAATACAATCATTAATACTCTGAGAGTATGTGATGTCCTCTAAGTTTATTCAGGAAGTTTTTTATATACCTAAGAAACATTTGTAGAGATAAAGTTCTGTTTGACAGCCTGAGGGCAGAGGGATAATCTGTGCTTAATAAAGAAGATAGTTTTGGGATGTGTGCCTTAGAAACTATCAAACTTGCATCTTCTCTCCAGTGATCCAGATCTCTGCGCTAAGGCACATAGAGGTCTTTTAGTAAAAGGGGAATTTCAGGTTTATTGAGGTTTGGTTGATACTAGTTTTTTGCAGACTTAGGGAAGCCTTGCTATTTTGCTTGGAACAGTTTGTTGCAATAGTATGTTCTAAAAGCCAGGTGTTGAATTAATACATGGCGGCTCTTATATAGGATTTATTTCTGTGACCCTGAGCACAATACATGGTTTGTTTTTGTTTTTGTTTTTGAGACAGAGTCTAGTTTTGCCACCCAGGTTGGAGTACAGTGGCACAATCTCGGCTCACTGCAACCTCCACCTCCCAGGTTCAGGTGATTCTCCTACAGTCATCTACCATGCCCAGCTAATTTTTGTATTTTTAGTAGAGACGGAGTTTCACTGTGTTGGCCAGGCTGGTCTTGAACTCCTGACCCCGGGTGATCCGCCCACCTCAGCCTCCCAAGGTGCCAGGATTACAAGCATGAGCCACCGTGCCCAGCCTGCACAAGCAGTTTTTATGTGCCTTCCCTTTGGTTATGTTCGTGCTCCTTAGAATAACCCTGTGAGGTAAGTAGGGAAGTCATCTTCATTTTATAGTTGAAAGACTCAAGACTCAGAAATGAAGTATTCACATTGTTATGTTAAGTTGGAAAACCAGTACTGGAACCTGGGAGTGGGGGAGGGTCTTCTAACTACTGGCCTGTGCTCTTTAAGCTGCACTAGCTATCCCACATTGAAAAGAATATATAAAACACAGCTGCAGCCATGCATACTCCATCTCCAAAGAATGGATTCATTGTTCGTGTCATGGTCTATTGACTATAATTTTCTGTTTGTAATCACCCAGATTCCAAGCCTGTTTATAGAACTTATACCTGAGGAATGGTGAGGATTAGAAGAGGCCACAGTCCTTGAGGTTTTCTTTGATAATGATATCTGTAACTGCATCAAACACAAATTTGACATTCTGTGTATCTGTAGCACAGGTCATGTGACTGTAGATTTCTTTGACATCTTTTCGCATATTGAGGTCAAGGAACTGGCTCTTGATGTAATTCCCCGCATCATCATAGGAGTTGTTACCTGGTTTTCCAGAAAAACAGTGAATTAGGATAAAGGAACCCTTGTTAGTTGCTCGCTCACTTTAGGTGATTGACTTGATCCTTGAAATGCTGTTAGACAACAGCAGTTGGGGGTTAATTTTGGAGGGAAGATTCCCTTTTCTGTTGCACTCCAGTGTTTCTCACTTGAAATAAATTGAAGGGAGGTGTCTCTCTGCCTTTGGTGTTTTCGTAGGTATCATTTGAAGTCAGTGGCTCTCCTGCATCTAATGCCTGCTCTATTCCAGAGAATCTGAATTTAAACTCTGTAACTGTGCCCAAGGTTCTCCCTTAAGTTCCTTTATGTCACCTTGGCCTAAGAAATTAGACAATTACCAGTCACTACTAAAAGGTATTATTTCTGGCCGCTGACACTTACCATCATACTCTGGAAAACAAATGCTGAGATGGACTTTCTTGATTTTTTCCTCAAAGAGGTCCTTCTTGTTGAGAAAGAGGACGATGGAAGTAGCCGCAAAAAACTTGTGGTTACATATGCTGTTGAACAGATGCAAAGACTCATGCATACGATTCTAGTAAGAGGAAACACCATTGAAAATATCAGATTTGGCTTACAGAATATCTATCTACTTCCTGCTCTTGTTCCCCTTGGAGAGACCAGTGCTTCAAATGTAAAAAGTAAGACAGGAAACAGCTATCTCTTTCATGTACCAAAGTAAAGCCAGAAAGATGTATTATTCTAGTTCCCTCTCTTTTTAACAGCTGTGTGACTTGTAGAAAATTATTGAGCTTTTCTGAGTCTGTTTTCCTATCTTACAGGGTTATAATGAAAGCTAAATGAGATCATATATGTAGAGTGTCCATGATAGTGGCTGGCATATAGGTGTACAATACGTGTTATGCAGATCTTTAGCAGCCAGGGTGCAACTGAGAACTTGACATTTTATAAGTGGTGCTGATAATGGGGTGAAACAGGCCCAAGTTAGCATGTGCCCATATGCAGCTCCAGGATGATTTGGATAGGCGTCTTTCATGGGGTCCCAGATCTTGGTTTGGGCTACTTTGGTCCTGCTGCCACATGGTGAGGGTTAGAGAATTTTCCAGTGCTATACCGCAAGCATTTCTGCTCTCATTTCCTTTTCTGATTGCTACTTAGCAAGGAATGGTGCTGTATATCTGCAGAGGTTGCCCAGTGTCCCAGCACAGGCTGCTTTCAGAGAGCAAGTCTTTAGGGTTTTGAAGTATGCTATCAGCTGACTTGAGTTCAGTCTGTTCATCTAATAAAACAAGAACAGTCTAATTTGTGGCTTTTTTTCCCATAATACTCCTGCACAACCCTTTAAGGTCTCATGGGCTTGTTTTATTAAGGTCTCATAGACTTTAATAAACCTCATAGACTCATAGACTTTAGGGTTAAAGATGGAAAGTCTCAGACTTTAATCTTAGGGTTCAAGATGGAAGGTGAATAGCTCTAAGACATTTTGGTTAGATGATATTCAGAGTGTTCTAATGTGAAGTAAAAACTACCAAGGGGAAGGGAAGAGAACAAGCTGCCCGGCAAAGGAGAGTATCTCTTTCATCAGCAATCTGTGGACCTCCATTTGTAAGCAGATGCTTAGGTGAAATTAATGTTTTTCACACCTCTGACAACCTTTCTCAAATTCAGAGAAGGTACATGGCTGGGCTCTAACACTTGTCCTATAGAACTCCTGTCCGACAGAATTTTACAGGCTAAAGAGAACCACTCTTGGGTAGTCTTCCAGCTGCCAATTTAAGTGACATGAGAAAGCTGGTCTGCCAGTCTGTCTCTCCTTACTCCTATTGACAGTACCTTTTTAGCCTCCTAAGTGGGGTTACTAGTTCAACCCTACTATTATGTTGCAATGAAGATTCACATAATATGTTATTTTCTCTGTTCTGTCATTTGCATCTCCTTCCTTAGGCAACTTGGGAGAGTACTAAGTGTAACTCCTTTGTTTTACCTAGTTGATGGTCCCTCATCTCTTTACACTCAATTCCTCTTCCGAGGTTTGTGATGTCCAAGTGATACTTGGATGTCTAATTTGAGACCAAGCTCCCTTCAGTAAATTTGGAGCTCTAAAATGCTAATCTAGAACCTGCAGAAGACATTTTTCTAGAATTATTTGCAAGAGACATTGATTGGTCTGCTAGAGGACTGCTACACTGAAATTACCCAAGTTGGGGCAGTAGAGTGTTGGACACAAGGCTAAGAGAAAGGGTCATGGGGAGATCTTGTTCTACCAAAACTGCTTGGTGCAAAGGCCACTCACCACTTCGTCATCTTCCACCAGCACCATATCATAGGCACTGAGGGCTGCACAGAAAATTATGCAGGTGACTCCCTCGAAGCAGTGGATCCACTTCTTTCTCTCTGATCTCTGCCCTCCCACATCAAACATCCTGAGGGAAGAAGCAGCTATTTTCATAGGTATGCCCAACATATGACCCAAATGCCTTTGATGTTTACCCCGTGAAGTGGGAGAGGAAAAAGGGGGAGAAGCAGAACAGTAATTTAGATTAGGCTTCGGCAAAGGCCAAGAAGCATGCCCGTGCCCCTTTTCGGGATTCCACATGTGTATCTGAGATACACATGGAACCATGCACTTACCTGAAATTCAAGTCTTTGACAGAAAACTTGGTCTCAATGATGCCCGTGGTTTTGACTCTGGATCGGAGCACATCTTGCTCACTAGGGAGGTACTCAGGGTCTGTAATTCGTTCTAATTGGTTCAGGTAGCTAGAGAAAAGTGATTAGCATCAATGACAAATTTTCCACAGCCAGGGCTAAGAAACATAAAAGGTATCTTACCCAAAGTCACACAGCTAATTTGGTGATAGAAATCAGGACTAGAAGACATATTGTTAAATTTAGGATTCTTCCCTTCAAACCTTCATATGTCCTTAACTAGAGGAAATGGGGGATGGACAAGCCCATTTGAGGCTGGGGTTCCAGCGCATTTAGATCAAGTTAGGTAAGTTTTTCTTGGGTTTCTCCTGACTGCAAGCTTTTGTAGATCTTTGGATGAGATTTAGTGATTTCAGTGGTTGTTAAAAGTTCCATCAAGAGGCAGTAAATTGAAAAAGACTTTAGAGACAGGAACCAATACTACATTGGACTTTGTTTATATCCTGAATCAAACTGGGGAGGAAACATTTGAGATAACTGGGGAAAACAATTTGGTGATATATGATGCTATTAAGGAATTGTTAAATATTTAGGTGTGAATATTTCTTTTTTTTTTTTTTTTTAAGAAAGGGTCTATATTTTAGAGATCTATAATGACGTTTTTAGGATGAAACGATACCTGGAATTTGCTTCAAAATAATCCAGTAGGGAATGGAGGTAAAATGAAATAAGATTGGCCACGAGTTGATAACTGTTGAAGGTAGGTGATTCATTATATTATTCTACTTCTGTATATGTTTGAAAGTTACCATAAAAAAGAAAAAGTTATTTAAAAAAACAAAAAGGCAGGAGGAAGGCAGACGTGAACTGAGATGACGGAGAGGAGGAGGGAAGCACAGGTAACACAAGTGCCTTCTGTATGCCAGGCATTTTCATGTTCAGATTGTCATTCAAACTCCTAAGCCTTCAAGTTTCAGATCCCCATTTTACAGATGGAGAAATTCGGAAGAGTTAAATACTTGCCTCGGGTCAAGAGGCATTGTGGTGTACTATGAACAATATTCAGCTGTGTAGTCAAGCAGCCCAGTGCAAATGCAGTCTCTGCCATTTATCTATATGACCTTGGGCAAGTTAACTTCTCTGAACTTCAGTTTTTCATCTGTAAAATGAGGCTAATTAGAAAGGCACTGTCTACCTTAAAGTCTTACTTTGTAGATGGGTAAAAGGCCTTGAGATGGTATATGCAGTACGCCTAGCAGTGACTGGGCTTTGAGGGCTCCAGGAATAGTAAGTGAAGGGATTATTATGAGATTAGGAGACAGAGGGTTAGGTTAAATAAACTCAGGTTTGACTTCGGAGCCCATGCTTGTCTATGATCCCATACTGTCTAAAATAGGATTGATAAATTATGTCCCGTATCTTTTTGGAAGCAGCTTGGCAACGATGGTTCTAATTCCTGACCATCTTCCTTTGGTTTGCCTTCGTAGTTTGTGTCCCCTGCCCTGGCATCCTGACAAGACACTCTAGATGTAGGAGACGCATTTCTGCTTAGCAGCCTAAGTAGATCCTAGATTACCAGATAGAAAATCCTCCCTCATGAATTACATTACTCCTGGGAGAGTGTATGACAGAACTGCAGGGCCATCTTAGGGTTCTGAAAGGAGAGGCTAAGTATACACCTCTCAAGAGAACAGGGCTGAGGGCTGCTAGGCAGAGCACTTCTTTTGAATTTTGCTTCTTCAGGCTTGTAGGCTGTAGTGAGCCATGTAAAGCAATAGAAAATCATGACAGCTGTGGCAGATCTCCCTGTAGCATTAAATTCAAAACAGTGAAACACTGCTGAAGCCTAACAAAACAGGTCCACAGGCTGATTCCGTCTGGGTCTCCAGCTTTCAGTGACTGAAATTTTAGGCTGGGTAAGATTTTTCCCAACCAGAGAGAAGATTCGCTAAAAGACTGCTTAAGCATCAACCCACCCTCTCCCCAATCAGAGTCTTACTAAGATGCAGAGTCATTGAGCTGGTATTCTGCAGCTCTCTCGAAGCAGGCTTGCACCCCACCATCCTTCCACAACCTCTTAATGACCTCCACCAGCTCGGGAGGCATGGTTCCCTCCTCAATGGAGTCAGCCAGGTTGTTGAGCTGTCGCCCATCATCCTGTAATGCAGAAACCTGGTTAGGAACTTCACAGGAGTCATAGCTTTCCAGGAGGCTTCTGGGAATACTGCTGAATGGAAAGCATTTTTACATTGCCACGAAGATCTAAGATAGAAGCAGTCTCCAGTGAAGATTCTTTGTAAGAAAACATACTGAGGCCAGGCGCAGTGGCTCACGCCTATAATCCCAGCACTTTGGGAGGCCAGTGCGGGTGGATCACGAGGTCAGGAGATCAAGACCATCTGGCCAACATGGTGAAACCCCATCTCTACCAGAAATACAAAAATTAGCTGGGCGTAGTGGCAGGTGCCTGTAATCCCAACTACTCAAGAGGCTGAGGCAGGAGAATCACTTGAACCCAGGAGGCGGAGGTTACAGTCAGCCGAGATGATGCCACCACACTCCAGCCTGGCGGCAGAGCGAGACTCTGTCTTAAAAAAAAAAAAAGAAAAGAAAAAGAGAAACGTACTGATTAACTTTGAATATGCTCCCCAATGCAGAGGGTGGCACTATATCCAGCCCTGGGGTTCGTCTAAAGGAGAGCAGTGGCCCCAGGTGTTTCCTCTCTGGAGTTTCTGACTTTCATCCTTAGTCTGAAAGCTAACTGCCACAAAACATGGGTCCTCTGCTGCAGAGAGACTGGAAATACAAAGGTCAGATTGACCATGAAACACACAAGATAGAAGCCAGGGACCCAACACCTTTGTTCTTCAGCGATTTAAAGCTAGAAAAAGGCCAGTACTAGAAGTAGGGATTTCACTTACAAAAGTTACATAGCCAGGAATCCAAGGGGAGCAATTTAAATGGTAAAATAAAGTAAAAAAGCAGATGAAGCTGTGAGTAGCTTTCTTTTATAAATATTTGTTACAAAGGTAGGGTTTGAAGCCAGGCACAGTGGCTCACATCTATAATCCCAGCAGTTTGGAAGTCTGAGGCAGGAAGATTGCTTAAGGCCAGGAGTTTGACACCAGTCTAGATAAGATGGCAAGACTCCTTCTCTACAAAAAATTGAAAAAAAAAAAAAAAAAATAGCTGGACTGTGGTGGTGCACACCTGTGGTGAGGCTGAGGTGGGAGAATCACAAGCCTGGGAGAGTGAGGCTGCAGTGAGCCATGATCACACCACTGCACTCCAGCCTAGGCGAGAGAGCAAGACCCTGTCCCGAAAAATGAGGGTGGGGGTTGCTTACTTCTCCAGGACTGAATTAAGACATTTGAAGCTCAGCAGATGGGATTATAGTTACAAAAAACTATTTTTCTTACCCATCTTTCCACAAAGTTCGTTGGCCTCTGGTATGTTTCTTCTCACTAGCCTTTCTGCTTCCACCCTTAACCACATAATATTAATGACATACCACACAGCTTGCTTCAACATAGTCGATGCCCAGTGTGGACATGGCCCGGATGATAGCCAGGATGGACTGCAGCACATTCCCATAGATGATAGCCTTGAACTCCAGGCATTCTTCGGGTGAATAGCCATCCTGGTGAATGATCCTGCAAGGGCAGACACTGTCTTTAGATGGACTTGAGTAGCCAGACCTAAGGGATTAGGAATCTGGGGTATTTAAAGGGTCATAAGAATCCTATCTGTTGCCACTGCTTTCTCAAAGTGGAGGGTGAGGGGCATTGGAATCAGATCCTTTATACCTGGGCTCCTTGAGTCTAAAGAGCCTTTCACTTTGAGTACCTCCACTGGCTCTGCTGACCTTCACCCTATCCCAGTCCTTTGGGGCTTTGTTTCTACTCACTTCATCTGTTTGACGATGGTGCTCTTTCCTGACTCCCCAGCACCTGGAAGGAAAAATGCTTATGCTTTCGATTTCCACCAGTTCTCCCCAGCCTTCCAGGAGATGGCCTGGGAGAACTCAGAGCCACTGCTTGCTCCAGGGTCTCATCAGGGGAGAACATAGGGATGACTGTTGCTCTCAGTTTCTGGCAGGCTTGAGTTCAGGCCATTCAACTTGGATTTAGAGCAGAGTTTCTTAACTATTTACGGTTTGGGCTGCCTCATGCATGGTAAGATGTTTAGCAGCGTTCTTGGCCTCTACCCATTAGAGGTCAATAGCACCCCACTTCCCTAGTTATGACAACCCAAAGTGTCTCCAGACATTTCCAAATGACCGCTGGGAGTCAAAATCTCCCTGTTGGAAACCACTAACAGATTTGGGGGAGTCCTTTAACATTTCTCCTCTCTGCCTATTTTTGACTCAGGAGAGTGATCTTGGGGTAGGATTGGAGAAAGCTGGATCATTTCGCCAAAATACTATATTTTCACCACCTTGCTGGTTCCCTTTTTTTTGAGACAGGGTCTCACACTTGTAGCCCAGGCTGGAGTATAGTGGCACAATCTCGGCCTACTGCAGCCGCGACTTCCTAGGCTCAAGTGATCCTCCCAGCTCAGTCTCCTGAGTAGTTGGGACTCCAGGCAGGCAACATCATGACCGGCTACGTTTTTTAAAATTTTTATTTTAGTAGAGACAGGGTTTCACCATGTTGTTCAGGCTGGTCTTGAACTCTTAGGGTTAATGGGTTCCCTTTATTGACTAAAATGTCCTAATGTCCTCATTCACACTGTTTTCCCCATCAAAAATTTATACATTCAATGCTGAGTCTATGCTACCCTAATGCCTCAACCTCTTCCCACTTCGCTTGTGCTTGTTCTCTCTAAGCGGCTTATCCTGAACCTAGAAGAAATCTGCTTAGGCTTAAAAGATCTCTCAGTGGCCCCACCATCTCTGTTTCCCCCTGCGTAACCTCCTGGGCTCCTTAGAGTCTGGGTCCAGCTTACGGAGATGTGCTCCTTTAGTGTGTCCTCATGACTGCCGCAGATCAGCTGAGGGAAAAGAACCCACCTTAGCCTAGTGCGTCAGCACCTAGGTCCCTTATGGGGGCTTGGAAACCCAGCGCAGGCACCCAATCTTCTGCTACATAGACTCCCATCTGCCCCAGCTACCCGAATTCTGTAGTACCAATGGTTTGTTTTCCTAAGCCAGGTGTCTTAAAAGTTCTTGTATTGGTTTTATTTACAGTCATGATCAATTTCCCGGTGATTTTATTTTCTCAGCACAGACCAGTGATCTGCTTAGGAGCTCATCAAGTTGATGAACCTTCCATCTGGCAGGGGCTTTGCAGGCAGCTATTGAATAGAGAGCCAGGAAGGGAGTGCTGTACATAAAGACATCATTCCTTCTCACGGGGCTCCCTACTTCCAACATTTTTACTGAAAACAAGGAACCACTATACTTAGCAAAAATGGGTGGGACTATCACTGGGATGTTGGCACTGATTGTATGGGGGGACTTGTGAGCCTGTTGGTGAGGGAAGACTCTGTTCTCTTCTGATTTCTTGGCTTAGAGTTCTCTGACTGCAGATTGGGTGCAGGTCTGCAAGTCCAGGGTGCTCGGTATTTGCCAAGCCAAAAGGTTGTGTTGTTTGGTTAGATTTGGCGATGGGCGGGTCCATCCTGGCCCTTGCACTATTCCTGGCTCAAGAGTAGAAAAACTCCGAAATAGCCCTGGTGTTCTGGATCCTGTTGGGGTGGCTATGTAGGTACCATATTAACTCAGCTCTAGAGCTCCTGATCCCCTAGCCTGAGACTGTGTAGAGGAGGGGAAAAATGACCTGCCACCCCTCCTTCCCATGGGGTGAAGTAGAACCCACCGACCCTCAGGTAAGCAGGAAGGACCCTGCCTTCTCTGGCTCATCTTTCCATCTCACTCACCCAGCAGTAGCAGCTTGACAGTCTTGGCTTCCTTGTCAGCATCCTCCTGCAGCTTCTTTTCTAGCTCCTTAGACCTCTTGGCCAGTTCTTTGTCCTCAGCACTGGCTCCACTTCCCATGTCTGCCGTCTTCTCAGCTTTCTCAAGCCCCTAAGGCTCTTTCGTAAGGTTTCCTGTATGAGAGATGGAAGAGAAGGAAAAAAAGTTGAGGTTGAGTATCCCAACTTGATTCCCCTAAAAGCTGTTCTGTACGAGGCCAGGAGAGAGAGCAGGCTGTAGGGTGTTGTACCCTGTGTACATTGGCTGAGACTCCCTAACCTGACTGGAGACCTACTTCTTAGTCTAGGGATTGTAGCCTTTATATCTAGCAATGTGATTGGTCAAGCCAATTAAGAGCTTTGTCAATACGGCAAGAGTAAAGACTCAAATGTTTCTATAACTAGGGAAATGATCTGCTGGGTTCTGACACAGAAGGATAGGATACACAACCACTTCCATCCTTTGAGAGGCTCATCCCCTAACATTCTATTGCTTCCTTGGATTTATTTCCATCATAGAGCTAGAGATTATGGGCACATATGTAAGAAGCATTCCCTATGTTGAGCCTCCAGATTATAAGGTCTTGGTTTCAAGGGCTCCAGGGTATCAAAGCAGACTCGTTTACCATAGGCTGGTCTTGTCAAGGAGTTTTTGTCTTGGGTGGTGCCCTTCCTTGGGAAAATAAGGAATGTTTCACTCAGCTCCCCCAGTGGCTGCTGCTGCAGGAAGCTATTCACATTGTTTCTTTGTATCGGGCCCCTCTCTTTTGTACTTCTGCTATTAGCACTTAGCACTTCACAGTGTATGCTGTTCTACAAATCTCTTCCCTTGCTGTATTTCTGCCCCCTGGAGCTCAAGGGATCAAATCTGACTCATCTTTAAACCTGTCAGAACTTGTAGTTTATCTGTGGATCAAAATGTTTGGTGAATGAATAAATGTAGGCAAAGGATGTATGGTAAAGAGAGTGGGGTTGCTTCCCTTGGGCCCACTAAAGCCAGCTGAGCCCAACTTCACTTCATAAGTGAACTTCGCTGGTGTTCAGTGTGGGGTTTGTGCTCACACAACAAATTCTGCTTCTTCGGGATATTGGACTCCAGACTCTGGCTTCTCAAAGGTTGGACAGCTCTCCCTCTGGCTCGCATCCCAGCAGCCCTTTCCTAGGGGAGAAATGAGGGTGCGGTCTAGCGACTGCCTCACAGACATTTAGGATTCCACTGGTTGTGCTTCTCTATGCCAGTTATTTCAGTTTACTTAAATGAGTCTTGCTGGTAGAGCCTCCTCAGGTGGAGCTATTTTAGAATTTTGCTGCCCAAAATGTGGCAAAAGGGCCAGCAACATCAGATCACCTGGAAAGCTCATTAGACGTGCGGAATCTCAGGCTTTAACCCAGAACTTCTGATTCCGAATCTGCATTTTAACGATCTCAGGTGACTCTAAGGCACTAAAGATTGGGAAGCGCTGCCCTAGGGAACTGTTTCCCCCTAAACTTCCCGAACTCTAAGAATCACCTGCATTGCTTGTTTCTGTGTTTCCTTAAGTCTTAGGGGCCACTGGCGAGAAGATTGCCCTACTTTCCAAGATGTTAAAATAGTGTGTGTGTTTTCAAAGGGTATGTTAGAATCAGACTCCAGAGCCAGAGAAATGATTTTAAGCTAATACAGCTAGTTATCACATCTGGCAAGTTTGAAAAACCCTTGCCTGACGCAGTTCTCAATTTTTAGTGTACAGTGGTGTTTATCTGGAGAGTTTTTTTAAAAAAAAATACTGATTTAGGCCGGGTGCAGTGGCTCATACCTGTAATCCCAGCACCCTGGGAGGCTGAAGGGGAGGTGGATCACAAGGTCAAGAGATCGAGACCATCCTGGCCAACCTGGTGAAACCCCGTCTCTACTAAAAATACAAAAATTAGCTGGGCATGGTGGCGTGTGCCTTAGTCCCAGTTACTTTGGAGGCCGAGGCGGGAGAATCATTTGAACCCGGGAGACGGAGAATGCAGTGAGCCAAGATCACACCACTGTACTCCAGCCTGGCAACAGAGCGAGACTCCGTCTCAAAACAAAACAAAAAACAAAACTGATTTAATTGGTCTGGAGTGCAGTCCCGGTACCAGGATTCAAAAACGTCCCCAGCTGGTTTTAGTGTACAGCCAAGGTGGAGAACTACTGAGCTCGAAGGGTATCATTTACTCTTTCCTTTTAGAGCTGGACTTGTGTAGCAGTGGCCAGTTGGACTGGGAAGGTCAGGAGTAGAATCTAGGTCTCCCCGCCTATCAGGTACCCTGAGCCATCGCTAATTATCTTCCTTCTTTGCACCACCTTTCAGTGACTGTAGGGGCTGATGGAGAAATAGGCAGCTGCTGAGGTGCTTTCCATGCTGACCATGTTTTCCCAATCTGATTGGCAAGTGCTTATTGACTTCAGGGAAAACAAGAGAGTCTCTTTGAAATTGTGACTATCTTGGAATCTTGGCTATAAGGTTTCAGTAATTATACCCCACTGCTAGCCCTATTCACAATACTGGTAACTCACAGAGGCCAGAGCTATGCTGAAGGCCACACTGATCAAAGCAAGGAGCTGTCAGGAACTATTAATAATTATTATGTTTTAGTTATTACAACAATTGCTGAACAATGTAAGTGGCTCATACCAGTTAATTCTCTCACAATAATTGCTATCATCTCCAATTTACAGACTCAGTAACTGGGACTTGAGAGTTAAGTAACTTGTTCAAAGTCGACCAGGCTCATGCCTGTACTCCCAGCACTTTGGAGGCTGACATGGGCGGATCACCTGAGGTCAGAAGTTCCAGATCAGCCTAGTCAACATGGAGAAACCCGTCTCTACTAAAAATACAAAAATTAGGCCGGGCATGGTGTCTCATGCCTGTACTCCCAGCACTTTGGAGGCTGACGTGGGCGGATCACCTGAGGTCAGAAGTTCCAGATCAGCCTGGCCAACATGATGAAACCCTGTCTCTACTAAAAAAAAACAACAACAAAGATTAAGCCGGGTGTGATGGCTCATGTCTATAATGAAACATTTTGTGCGACTGAAATGGGCAGATCACCTGTGGTCAGGAGTTCAAGACCAGTTTGGCCAACATAGTGAAACCCCTTCTCTACTTAAAAAAATACAAAAATTAGCCGGGCGCGGCAGCTCACGCCTGTAATCCCAGCACTTTGGGAGGCTGAGGCAGATGGATCATGAGGTCAGGACATCGAGACCATCCTGGCTGACATGGTGAAATCCCGTCTCTACTAAAATACAAAAAAATATTAGCTGGGTGTAGTGGCATGCGCCTGTAGTCCCAGCTACTCAGGAGGCTGAGGCAGGAGTATCACTTGAACCTGGGAGGTGGAGGTTGCACTGAGCCGAGATCACACCACTGCACTCCAGCCTGGTGACAGAGCAAGACTCCATTAAAAAAAAAAAAAAAAATTAGCTGGGCATGGTTGCGGGTGCTTGTAATTCCAGCTACTTGGGAGGCTGAGGCAGTAGAATCACTTGAACCTGGGAGGTACTGTGCTCCAGCCTGGGTGACAGAGGGAGACTCTGTCTCAAAAAAAGAGAAAAAAAATTAGCCACGTATGGTAGCCTGCGCCTGTAATCCCAGCTGCTTGGGAGGCTGAGGCATGAGAATCACTTAAACCAGGAAATGGAGGTTGCAGTGAGCCTAGATTGTGCTACTGCACTCCAGCCTGAGCCACACAGTGAGACTCTGTCTCAAAAAAAAAAAAGAAGTTGTATGGCCTAGTAAACAGATAAACCCGTGATCCTTCTTTCTATTACTCCCACATACGTAGCCAGAGAGAGAAAGCATGGGCAAATGCATGAACTCGGTCACAGCAGCACTTGTCAAAGGAACCACTAACTTAGGTCACATACAGGGAAAGTGTTTGGGCTTGTTCCTTTTTCCACTACTACCTCTGCAAACTTCTGCACTGCTTCTGATTTGTTCCCTAGCTTACTGGGTGGACGTTCCCCATTCTCACTGCTAAACTGAGAGAGGGATCTACTAGCCCTCACCTGGCCTCTGGAAGCACAGATCCGTTACGGTGTATGCATCATCCTGATGCCAGTGACCTTCTGCCTCTGTTGTCAGCTCCTGTGCCTGTTCCTCTTTATGATCACATTTAGGGACAGTTACCTGATGAAGTAGGTAAGGTATGTATTGCTATTTCCATTTTGAAGGTGAGTGAACTGAAGTGCAGAAAAGTGATCTTCACATTAATAAGCAAGTTGGCATCAGAGGCCAAGCCAGAGCGCACGTGTTTTCATTCACAGCCCTTTTTAACCGTATCATTTTGAGCGAAAAGTCAATCACTGTTTCTCAGTGATCCGGGCATCTTCCTGAGTAAAGGGGAGAGCTCAGGATCTGTCTGACATCCTTGGTCAGCCTTGTCTTAAGTGAATTGTGGGTAAAGGCGTGTCCCAGATGCAGTGGGAGGACACGAAGTATCAACAACTACCTCCAGGACCTTCCAGTCCATAGGCGGAGGTGGGGAAAATTCATAGAAAAACAAATTAGTTAAAGGGATACTGCAATAGCGCTGGGGAATTCAGAGCTATTTAAGACCTAGCATTCACTCGTGGTAGGAAAGGCAATTAAACACACATCTGACTGTCAGACTGACAAGTTCTATGGCAGACAAAAGAACAGGGTGATTGTGAAATGAACAGACTTTCCACAGAGAGGCAGAACAACAGTGGAAATGGGAGATAAGCGTTTTGGGGAAAGGAAAGAGCATGAAAAAAGCGGTAGAGGTGGAAGGTACAAGGTGTGCTCAGAGAAGACTGGTGCTTTGATGTGACCGGACTGGAGTGAAAGGTGCATGGAGTGGAGGGCTGGGAGGTGAAGATGAGGGCAAGAGAGGGAAATTGGAGCCAGCCAGGGAAGGGCCTTCAATGGAAGGGGTTTGGCTAAAATCCACTGGAGTCGTATAGACAAGGACAGAGGGAAACAGCTGTATGGTGCTATAAACACAATGCTGGGTGACTGAGGGGGCGGAGGGAGGGAGCTGGCTGCTGGGAGCAGCTGAGAAACCAGAGCTGAACAGCTTGTTTCTAGAAGGGCCTAGGCACAAGGTATGGTTTGGGAAATTGCCCTGGCCAAGGACCTTTTTGGAGCTGCGGGTATTCTCTCCCAAGTTTATTATCTGTGAAGATTGTTCTGGCCTAGGGAGGCTGACATCAAAGTGACCTGAAATCCAGAAGCAGAGAAAAGCAGTTCTTCAGAGAAACAGGAGTGCACCATCCTTACAGAGCTGGGATTCTGGAAGGGCCAGTTAAGGAGCCCTGTGGGGAACAGGCTAGGAGGGGAGGAAGCTGTGTTC